TTACTGTGCAAATGATGATTTTTTGTTGTGATTTGGTGCTGTCTGAGGTAAGAAGTAACAGGTTGAGGTATCTGCACTTTACTTGAATACTTTCATTTTCTGCTATTTCATTCTTGGATTTCACTACATTTATTTGATAACTTTAGTTACTAGTTACTTTTCAGAATCAGATCAATTAATACAATGCTAATAAAAAAGATACAGTTTTATCTTCAGACTTTTTTGATCCCTGTTGGGAAATTCACACACCACCCAGCAGTACTTCAAAGTATAAGGTACCTAACAACGGCTCTACCTTTACCTGCTGCAGCATTAAACAGTACATCAGTATTATAGTCCATGGTAACGTGAACTCTGCCATTCTGCATAATTAGTACTTTTATTTAAGAAACGTTTTCAACACATGACTTTTACTTGTACAGAGTACTATTACACTGTGGTATTGTTATGTTTACTTAATAAAGAGGTGGAGTACTGCTTCCCACTGGGTGTTAAACAGCTAAAACCACAGTGGACATGTCTCTCTGTCACACTCACTCATCTGTTTTAATCAAGCCACGTTCACAATACATTTAAGCATCTGTAGGAAGCAGGAAGTATTTATTCAGACCTGATTCCAACAAAGTAATGTCCCTGTTCTGTGGCCTGTACTGTATAAATCATTATTACTGACACCACTTCTACCAGTAACAACGATCAAATGTTTTAAAATGAGCATATTTTGGAAAATAAAAACTAAAGTCAAACTGCTGTCTCTATGACATTATTACAGCGTGACTCTCGTTACCTGGATCCTGAGTTTGTCAGTGTTGTTGTTGTTGTTGTTGTTGTCGCTGCTGCAGGTCGTCATGGTGACGACCTGTCAGACACTGATAAGGCGGTGTCACGCTGATCCTCCATCACCTGCAGCCCCTCTGAGCAGCTCCACTACGTGCAGTGGTGTGTCCCCCACTGTGTCATTGCGCAGCTGATGGAGATTCCAGTTTTTCCAGTCGGCTCCTCCTGGTTTAAACCGCAGCGCCTCTGAGTCCCGCTCCAGTCTGAGCGCAGCAGCAGCAGCAGCAGCAGCAGGATGGCCTCCAGCACCGGCACCAACGCCAACCTCCCCAGCGGGATTGAAATATGTACAACCATCCCCGACATCCTCTACCTGCCAGAACTGGTAAGAAACAAGAGGGTTTATCCAAGAGTCCTGGCTCAGCTGTGCGCGCGGTGCGCGCGGTGCAGCCACTGCAAAGGCTTTGTTAACTAATGGTTTAAATGCGCTGACCTGGTTTGTTGTGTGGAGGCTAAAGGCTCCTGACAGGTGAACAGGTGTTTAGTCAGCGTCTGTGCTAATTTATTCAAGTTTGTTTTTCATGTAAAGCTAAAATAGAAAAACAGTTTTATCCCCTGAACCCAGAGACACTGGACTGAGAAGAAGTGAAGTTGTTTCATGTTCCTTTGGTTGGTTTAGTCTAAAAACATCTTAACCTGAGAGAATTATGTGATGAATTCCTTTAGTTTCTCCAGTTAATGTTGTTATTGGTCTGTTGCATGACGAGCTGTGCCGCCTTGTCTTGCTGAGCCTGCACTGCTCTGTGTGCTGAGGCTGAACTCCAGGCCCTTTATTGATTTTGGTGTTTTCTGTAAGGGGGGGTCTGTGTCCACATGGGCCACCTTGACCTTCACACCGTCTCTGACATCACAAAGGTCACGCGTTTGATTCATGTGTGAACAAAACTTGACATCACTAAAATGGATGTTTTAATGGATTCTGATTGGTTTCATCTGGAATGTCTACAAACAAATCAGGAAATGAAACTGATATTTCTTATATCATACAACTATAAGTGAAACCTTGTAACCTGAACGCCTTGGTCCAAATATTTAACCCCTAAAAGACTCAGTTTAATTGTAAACAAGTGGGCAGAGGAGCATTTTTGATGCTATTTTTAATGTTGTTTATTGAAACAACAGTAAATCCAGCACACGCAGCCTCAAGGTGAAGGATGTCCCAGCCAAAGCATCGTACACTGATCTAGCCGCTGCTAACGGGAGCTAATCTCAGATCAGCCCTCGTTTGCACAAACCAAAATCCAAATCAGCAAAATGTGGGCGTGAGCTGAGTCCTGTGACACTCGGTGGCCTGACTCAGCAGAAAACCTGGGATTTCTAAAAACTGCTCAGACTGAGAAGCAGAGCTGCTGTTCATGTGAATGTGTATTAGGAGGAGAACAGTGTTCTCATCAGAAATATTACACTAGGTCAGAGGTCACTCAGTCAGACATGAGGAAGAATAGATGCTGTTCCTGGAATGAGCCTCGGTGACATACTGAACACAGCAGCTGACAGGAAAAGGTCCAAACACCTAGAAGCGCCACACCCCGGCAGGAGGAATGCTGCTGGTCGTTTAACTGTCACCTTTACTCTATGCACATAAACACGGTGTGTGAGCAGGTGGAGGAGGGTGACGCTCAATAAATAATGGAGCTTATCAATCGTCACAGGTGTACAGTGAAAGAAAACAGCTCCCGAGCTGGCAAAGCTGGAAATACAGGGCCTCAGCTAACAGTTATGAAACCATGTAAACAGTAGCTGGCGATCACAGCTGTATGTTCTCACATCCATCAGGGGGCAGAGCCAGAGACGGACAATAGTTACACTAGCTTTTCTGGTTCATAATCATGCATGACTGCAAATATGTGAGCAATGCGTTTCACAGCGTCGCTTCCTCAGGCTGCGTAAAAGAGGTGTGTGGTTTAAAGGAAGAGGCCGGTGATTCCCCACCAACCCCGTCCAGAGACCAGCAGCCCCAGTGAACGTTGTGTCCTCACTGTCATGTGTGTGGCCCTGGTCCAGCTCATCACTCTGTCCTGTAGACCTCCACTGTTGTCCACCAGCTGTTAAACGCCCCCAGTGAACCACACCGTTGTACTGGGGGGCAGGTTTCCTCCTCAGGAAACATGAACTGGAGCATTTATGTTCAGAAATGAAACAACTATTTTGAAAATCTGGTCATCTCAGAAGCAAAAGTGCCAAAAAACCCAAATGTCTAGTCAAAGCTTCCTAAATATGAGGATTTTGTCTCACTAAACAATATTTTGGAGACTTTGACTGCTACTTGAACAGATCAAGGCTTTTGCAGATGTCATCTATGACTCCAGGAAACTGAGGCTGACGTTTTCACTGCTGTCGGACATTTTCTAAACTAAACAAGTGAAACCAGCAGCTGTAGTGGGGTAAAGTAAGTGGAATGAGTTAGTGGCTGGGGGATGGATCAAGGTCTCCTCTTGTGCATCTCTGGTGTTTCTCCTGCAGATCTTCGGCGGTCTGGTGTGGATCTTGGTGGCAGCCACACTGGTGGTACCAGCAAACCCTCAGGGCTGGGTCATGTTTGTGTCCATCTTCTGCTTCATCATGACCTTCATCTGGATGGTGGTGTTCGCCTGCGGGGCGCACAACAACAGGGACAGCTGGGCTGCAGCAGTAAGTTCCCCTCCCACTTCAGCAGCCACTGATTTCACTTCATTCCTGTAAAGGGTTAGCAAAGTGCTCACTCACACAGCAGCTGAATTTCATTACCCTGAACAGACACAGAACAAATCACGCCTGATTTGAAACCCAGCCTGCTTTCAAAAGATCTGTTATAAACCACCGGGAGCTTGTTTCAATATTATGAGTCATGTAAAGGTAAAGCGTGTGACTGGAGCTGAGGCTCCATCCACCCGGTCTTTTTAACATTTTCAACTTATAAAATAAGAAACAAATGAAAACAAGACTAAAAAAATCTTGATATAAAGCAAAAAAAAAAAAGTTTTGGCACATGGCTGAGGTGGAAAAGTTGCATCCAAAAGCTTATTGTCATCGCCCGCCCCGTTCATGTAATGGACAAACAGGGAAGGTAATCACCTTAACAAACAAGGTTTTAAAATTCCCGCTGGTGATGCCTGTTTGTTAGGAGAGGAGAGCTGTAACCACTGTAGAAGCATCAACGCAGAGAGCTGCTCGTAAGGCGACAGCACAACTTGAGATCTGAGTTCAGGTCTGAGACATTTCACCAAGGATCCTGCGTCAGAAAACTCAAAGCTCAAGTAACAAAGTCAAAGTATTGAAGTCTAGAAATATCTGACCAAGCTTGACAATAACAACCTTCTGTGAAAGACTCTGGGCTCCCTAACCCAGACTAAAACCCAGAACATGTGGATGCCCAAACCAAGCCCGACTGGACCCATCAGTACCCATCAGTTTGGGCCGGGTTCGAACAGAAATTTAGAAGTCAGGTTCATGTTCGTGTTGGGTTTGGATTCATAGGGCAAACATTAGACTAGATGGCTGGAGCACTCAAATGTCTGCTGTGTTTAATGATAAAGGGAAAACACTGCACAAACCCAACCGTGTCGGGTCCGGGTCAGGTTCACATGCCACGCTTTTGGACATGGGTCGGGTTTGGACAGAAACACGCAGCCTGATCCATGCACTAATAAAAATAATACCAGGCAGGATTCATTTCAAACATCTGCTCCATCTCCACGTCTTTTTCCAGCCACTCCTGCCACAGTATCTCCAGAACACACTTCAGCACCATGTTCACCTCTGTGGAACTTTCCCTCTCACACTAAAGCTAATTAAACCTCACGTGTGATAAATGACATATTTCAAGCCAGTGTTCCCATAAGTAAAATGCCTGAAGAGAGAAAACAGAATTAACTGATTTTCTTGGGTCTGTGAATGCAACACGCCAGGGTTCGTGTGTGTGTTTTGACTCTGTGCCAGTGCAGACAATAACTGTCCTGTTCACTGCATAACTGAACCTGACTGCACAGGTTTCTCATGTTCCGTTTCGTCCTCCTCTTCCTTCAGGACTGTTTGTATCACGGCATCGCCGCTTTCTTCTACCTCAGTGCTTCAGTGTCTTTGGCCAAAGTGACTCTGGATCTGAACGATGGGACCGGGTCCAAAAGCTACAAGCTGGACATCGCTGCAGTGGTGAGTCTGGCTGCTTCTTGTGGAAAGGGTGACGAGTCCCAGCACAGGTGAAGAGCGACTCCAGACCCATAAAACAAAACCACAGAGACCTGAACTCAGAGGGCGATGGACCTGAATGTGTCCAGAAAACCTCATTGGTTGCTGGTTTTCATGTTTTCTTTTCCAGCACTAAAGCTGAGAAAACCTCCGATTGGCCCACTGGTTTGGTTATGATGACATCCTTACAGCAGTCCAGTGGGGGCAGTCGTTTTCACTTGAGTAGACATACTCTGCTACCTGTACAATAGAGATCAGGCATTTAAAATTTTACTTCAATACAAAAGTATTATCAAAGTATACTTATGAAATACTACCAGTAGCCATGCAGCCTGACGGCGTCGTGTTATAGGATTATAACTACTGTGTACGTCGCGTTAAGGTTGCAGCTGCTAAAGGTGGAGATGATTTTATTTACTTTCTATAAAGCCAGGAAGTTAACTTATAATAAAACAGCATCATTTATTAGTTGGTTATTTTCATCTGAATCTGTGAAGTAGTTGTCAAATAAATGTGGTTGAATAAAAAGTCCAGTATTTCACAGTGTAATAAAAATCGGTGGTTAACAGGCTCAGACATGTTTAAACCCTGTGGTCGGATATAAACTGTGTGTGATGTTCATGGTCCTTGGAGGATAAACGCTGATGACCTCCTGACCTTTCCTCCATTTAGCACTGACGCTCTCTTTGCCTCTTCAGGTTTTCTCATATGTGGCGACGCTCCTCTACTTCATCCACACCATCCTGTCTGCCATCCGGTGGAAATCTTCCTAGAACCCTGCAGAAGCTCAGGACCAGCACCAGAACAGAGCATTTTGTTTTTTTAAATAATTCTTAACGTTTGTACATAAAGCCATGGCATGCTGACATGAAGGGAGGCTGATAGAGACTGTCCCATTGACTTTGGGTCTCTCCCCTCCTGGGAGAGGAAGCTGTGCAGCAACATCTGGATCACCACAGCGTCTACATGTCGGCAGCTGGAGGGAGTTCAGTGACTTAAAGTGATGAATGATGGTTTCGCTGCCAGCTGACCCTGACGGTTTGTGCCAGAGCTTCTTCTGCTAACAGATCCACAGTTTCACTGCTCACATCGTGCACAGCAGTAACACTTTACTGACATGTACACGATGGATCAAGGCTTCAATCATATTAAATTCACTGAGACTGCATATTTTCAGCCAATGGTGAACAAAGTTCTGGTTAAATTAAAGCTCAAATAGCATAATGAAAAATCTGTCCAAGTAAAACACCCTGTGTTTTTATCAGCAACAGGTAAAAGTAAGGTTTCTGGGGGTTTCTGTTATTTTGTCCGTCCTCATGTTGTAGCTTCGTGTGGAGGTTTTTTTTGTACACAATCACTGCTACATGTTCAGCTTTGCTTGTCCTTCAGTGAAACAGGTTTGTGTTTTGTCAAATAAATAAACATTAAATTAAATTTGGGTCAGAACAGAAAATTGAACCATGCTGGAAGGTGAACCTCCGCCGCTGTGCTATGTTACAATGACTTGGTAAAACTGTCACTGGTGGAGCAACAACCAGCAGGGTTGAGAGCTCCGATCAACATCACGAACATGAAACCAGGTTTAATGGAACATGGCAGGGAGTAAATACAGGGCAGGCTGCCACACAGATGTACAGTGTAAGGCTGATTGGGTGGAATGATGGGGTCACTGAACTGTAGCTGTGATGTATAATTGATGAGGGGAGGCAGCATCTTTGTGAAACAGGAGAAGGTGGAGGCTTCTGTCACCTCAGTCGCTGCACGAGCAGCTGATAAATGTTATGACCAAAAACCTTTAGTGTCAGTTTGATTTTTGTCTACTGTTCCAGTTTGGGCTGCGTCGTTTCAGTGACAAGTGACCTGCCAACTTTGTGTCAAGTTACCGTTTATGATTTTGTTCTCTTCTTCCTTTTTATCAGACACAAGAGTGGGTTCACATGGGCATCACCACAACTTCGATCAGAGATGTGTGAGGGATTACGCCCGAACAGTCCCTTATGTCAGGTTACATTGGTCTCAGCTTTCAATAACTGAATATGAATAATGTAACAAGAGTCATTGAGTTTTAGTGATTGAATGTGTCCCTATGAGGAGTTGTATATTAATACTATACTTCATTCATTTCATTTGTTTAGATTTACAGAAACAACTGCATTAAAAAGCCTCATGTATCCAACCCCCCACTCCCCCTTGTGGTCACACCGCTGCATTACAGGAGTGTTTCATTCTCTGCTGTTAAAGGTGTATTAACTATTATTTTTCTGAGAAGAAATTTGGTCAGTACTTTTAAATAATTAGTACCTATGGGTTTCCATTTACTGCTACTTTACTGTTTTGAAGCCTGCACCACAAGTGGCATGACCAAGGAAGAGGTGCCACTTACACAGAGTCTGGATACAAGTACAGCTAAATAATGCAGTACTTCTACCATAAAAATGACCATTATGATAAAATTGCAACGACCTTAGTTTGTTTTTTCTGTTTACTTTACTATTGTAATTAAATAAAACAAAACAGGAAGCTGCTGGTGTCCAAAACCTCCCCTCAGTATATTCTGTCAAAAAAACCCAAAGTGTACAAAGACACCTGCTCACTGAAGCATAACATCTGTTCAGCTCTGTTACAGTATGGTGGTATATGAAGATGGATGAACTGGCACGCTGCCCAGCACTACCAGTGTCTCCAAAGTGAACACAGCGATGGCTGTTTAGTGACTTGAACCAGTAAATTCTTGTCCACTTTGGTCACAGCTGTAGAGTCTCTCTCTCCAGAGCGAATGATGGGTTTTAAGGAAAAATGAAGTAGTAAAAGCTTTTCCACATTATTTGTGCCAATACGGTTTCTCTCCACCGTGAATACGTCAACGAGATTTTAACTAACTTGTATTAACAGAATTATTTCCTACCAGCTTGAACTGGGAAACGTTTTCCCACATTCTTTACATCTGTACGGTTTCTCTCCACTGTGACTCCATCGATGTCTCTGTAAACTGCCGTCACCTAAAACTGAACTAAGTCTCTAAAGGAACATTTTCAGCTTTTCTTAATGTGCATTCAGTCATTCAGAATATGGCTGTTTGCTTTAAGTTCCAGAGCACAGTGGTGCTGTTCCCAGCTTCACCACTGGGCTGTTGAGCCTATTGGATCCCGACACTATTAGATTTTGGGAGAAGTCCCTAGAAAAGGTCCAGGTTTTGACAATGGCTGGTACTTGCCTAGCACCAGTATGTTCTGGAAAGAGCCGGAAACGTCCAACCTTTTGACAGTTATGTATGGTGGTTTCAAGGCAGATGAAAAGGAACAAAGGAACGTGCTGGTTCGGTCGCTCCACATAGGGAGGAGCAGTAAGGAACGCCATAAAAACATGAGCTTCCTGAGTTTGAGTTCGGCTGCTCATGGTCGCAGCTCACTTTGTCAAACATCGTCACTTTATCACCAGACTCCAGTGCTTCAGGTGATTGGCTGAAGAACATGACAAAGTTTTTCCACCACACCTGACTGAAACTTGTCCTCCTCCACCCAACTAGCTGCTCAGTGATATTACTGAACTTAAATCATTTTCATCTGTATGTACATGACTAAAGAGCAACATCTTATGCCAATACTGGTACAGTCCTACAGAAGAATAACCGAATCTAAAATACACTGTTTATCATTCAAATAAGCGACTAAGTCTTCCAACATGATGAAACAGTAAATAATACAAATGTGAAGTATTTTTCTTAAACCTATGTCCAACAGTTCACCACAACAATTGTCTAGAAAACCCACCAATCAAAACGTTTCCCTTTTCATACTGCCTTGGACCACTGTAGATGCTGCGTTTATAACATGCACAGCTGTGTATTTTCAGACTACCTGATGCAGACAAACCCCATCAATGGTCGCATTACAGATCGTCTCCCGTGTGAACACGCTGGTGGGTTGTTATGTGGCTTGAAATGTCAATTTGATCATCAGCCTACATGGACCTGGAGCCACATAGGCCACTTTCCATTTCTCGGTCATGAATTACTTCAGTCTCATTCAGGCTGTATTAAGCAGAACAGTGACATTTAAAAAATAGCTAATTTTTACTATTACCATCAAAGGAACAGTACTTTTTAAGAGTTATGTTTCAAATCAGTTTTACCAATAAAACATAACATTACGAGCACTCTCCCATGAACGCTGACTATCTTGTAACAACAGATCATGTCAAGGTCTGGGATACATCAGGAAATAGTCGCTTCTTGTCAAAGTGTTGGATGTGGGAGAAACGTGCAGATGTAAAGACCAGATTGTTACGGTCAGATGACGTAGTTGGCGGCAGGTGAACAACCAGCTGTTAGGTAGGTGGTCGCTGGGCTTTGGCTCATCATGGTAAGATGAACTTATAGAGCCTCGTACAGCTTCTTCTACCACTACGCGTTTCTCTGTCTGGAGGATTCATCAGTCCTCTCTCTGACGGCAGCCTAATGGAAAATGAACCAGGACAAAACCAGCTTCAAGAATCAATGGTGACTTTACAGAACAAATGAGTATACATGTGATTCTAATGCACGGAAAATCAACATAATCCATGAGCTGAATAACCTGAAGAAGCCAAAATGACCAGTCTAACACCACATTAGTACTTCATTCTTAAAGTGATAATTATTCCATATGCAAAATATACACAATACAAGTCATTAACAACGTAACGAATGAAACATAAAACTAGAAACAGTTCCATTAATAAGACATGCACCAATACGTTTTACTGAAACCAAATGCTTTTCTCCTGTGTGTTCTCCTGTTGGTGTAATGGTCAGGAGTCCCAATACTTTGGTCCATATCGTGTCACCTCAACATTCGTCTAGAAACCCCCAACAATCAAAATGTTTCCTTTTTCATACCACTGTACTTGCTCCGGTTCGATTTCTGGCTTCTCCAGTCTGCATGTCGAAGTGTCCTTGATCAAAATACTGAGCCGCCAGTTGCTCCCAGTGATATAACTGGTGAGTGAATGTGTGAGTGCAAATGGCTGAATGGCCAAATAGTGCGAAAGCGCTTTGAGTGCTATAATGTATAGACAGGTTCTATACAAGTACAAGACCACTTACTATTTATTAACAGATGTAAACAAACCCAGTCAGTCGTCACAGATATACAGGTTCTCCCCCGTGTGGTTATGTTCATGGGCTTTTTGTAACGCAGGTCCTTCCACGGTGTCTCCAGAGGGGGCGCGCTGATGATTTTTTTAAATGACCTGAATGAGCAAATCCTTTTCAGCATTGGTCACAGCTGTATGATTCCTCTTCAGTGTGAACATGCTGGTGAATTTTAGGGGACTTGTACAAATATTAGTAAAGAGAGTCACCTTCGGCTTTTCCCGTTTAGGGGTTGCCACAGCGAATCATCACACTGACGACTCGCATGTTGACATTTGGCACGTGTTTTACGCCGGATGCCCTTCCTGACACAACCCTGACTTGAACCCGGGCTGCAGTGGCGAGAGCACTGCGCCTTAACCACTAGCCTACCAGGGATGATAGTACTTGTATAAATATTAATAAATTCAATAAATACATCAAATGTGAATGATGGCAAATCCTAAGTGCTAATAAATCTGACAACAAGACAGGAAGGCAGTTTTGAGCCCATTTCCGGCGGTTCACCCTGACAATTGTCAAGATACCACGGCCAGTTAAAATGTTTTTCTTTTTATACAGATTTGGACCCACACACGTTACCTGTTCACAGCTGTAACGTGCAGTGGCAGGTTTTTAGACTACTTGACGTTGGCAAACTCTGTCAGTGGTCCCAGATTGACAGATTCGCCCCATTGTGAGGCACCGATGGGCCTTTTGTAATGAAAGCTTTCTCCCAGTGTCTCTAACGTGAACACGTTGATGAGTTTTTAGGTTACTTGCATAAGCAAAAGCTTTTCCACATTGGTCACAGCTGTACGGTTTCTCTCCAGAGTGAACACGATGGTGGCGCTGTAGATTCCACATCTGAGTGAACACTGCCTCACACTGTTCACACCAATACAGCCTCTCTCCAGTGTGAACACGCTGGTGGGTTTTTAGGTGACTTGAACGAGTAAAAGCTTTTCCACATTGGTCACAGCTGAAGGGCGTCCCTCCTGAGTGAACACGCTGATGCCTCTGTAGATGGCACGACTGGGTGAAGGCGGCCCCACATTGGTCACAGATGAAGGGTTTCTCTCCAGAATGAATATGCTGATGACGCTGTAGGTTCCCCAAGACTGTGAACGCTGCCCCACACTGTTCACACCAATACGGTTTCTCTCCAGTGTGAACACGCTGGTGGGCTTTCAGGTGATTGGAACGAGTAAAGGCTTTTCCACACTGATTACAGCTATACGGTTTTTCTCCCGTGTGAATCAGTTGATGCATTTGCAGAGTCCCCAGCTGAATGAAAGCTGCCCCACACTGCTCACACCAATACGGTTTTTCTCCAGAATGAATACGTTGATGCCTTTGTAGAGTCCCCAACTGAGCAAAGGCCGCCCCACACTGTTCGCAGCTGTACGGTTTCTCTCCAGTGTGAATACGTTGGTGGATTCTTAGGGAACACGGCATAGTAAAAGCTTGCCCACATTGGTCACAGCGGTGACGTTTGTGTGTCATTCTTCTTCTCTGTTTCTACAGCAGAACACAGACAGGGAGGAGCACGTGAGATTTTATGTTGGAACAATCTAAAACCATAACTGACATTTACAGCATGTAAATCACAAAACATTCATTTTTACCTGGGATAACTAACTGCAAGGGCGTGGCCACTGACTGCAGCACTGGCCTTTATGAAAACTTGACTGATCACCACAAATGCTCGTTTACATTGTTATCAGTGTTGTAAAAAAATTATGTATATGTGAATATTTGAAAATGGCTCAATACTAATTTTCCATTGTGTGATACACCGACACCAGCTGCACTTTGTCTCTGACAGCAAGTTTACACACACACACACACACACACACACAGCAGTGCCCACAACCCCGCCTCCTCCCGCTCGCTCACAGCGCTGTCTGCCCCTCATTTGTCTTGCTCAGGTTGAATTTTAAGCCAATGACAGACCTTGGTATGTTGCAGGGTTTTCTATTGTGTTAGCTCTTTACAAATGACAAGCGCAAAGCCTCCAGGGCGGATTTTGGTTGACAAAGGAAATGCTCTGCTAACAAAAGGTGCCAACACAACAAATTCAGCAAAACACCTGAAGGACCGACACACCATCTGTTAGTGACAGCTCCCATTTCAGCACCAGTGTAGCATTAAACAAGACCAGTAAGTGATTTTTATTCAGTCTGTGATCATAACAATACGCAGTGACAGTTTCAGTCCTGTGTGAAAATATGCAGCTTCAAAATGTAAATAAAACATTTATAGAACTGACTTTAACAACAGACAGTTGCACTTCAGGAACATGTAAGTGAGACAGTGGAGTCTGCCTGTCTGTAATACAGAACTGAAAAATATATTTATATTTAGCGGCACTGAAAATCGACCCGGATTTTGTTTTTTTAAACACACCTGGTTACCATCACATTACATGGAACTCACTTAAATCTGCAAACCAGTTTCACAATTGATGTTTGGCAAGTCCGAACCTTGTTATTAAAATTCCTGTCATGCTCAGTGCAAAGAGGTTTGAGTCTGTAGGTCTGAGTTAGATAACGTAGTCAAGGTTTGGACTAGTGAAAGGATCCATTTTTGGTCCCACTTCAGTCACTATTTTTATTGATGATCTAGGATCCAAAGTAATCAGCAGTGCCTTGCATTTATATGCAGATGACATGCAGGTAATCAGCAGTACCTTGCATTTATATGCAGATGACATGCATATTGAAAAATTAACTGCTTCACTCAAGCTTAGACTTTCACATCTGTATAGAAACATATTGTTTTAATGAGTGTCACAGGAGGCCGTTGGTACAAGCAACAATTTTATCTAATAGACTATGCACAGCTTCTTGGTTTGACTCCACCTTGAATTTTGTTCTGTCATTTTTTGGTTTTGCTCTCTCTTAACCAAGACCTGTCATGTGCTGGGAACATTATACTGATAATGTAATGCAGACAAAGCAAAAGAGACATATAACCATAGGTATAGTGCTGCCAGAACGATGCTCCACCAATTTTTCTTCAAAAGGGAGGAAAAAGAACAGGCCCACTGGCGTAATCTGGCTAAAATTCACAACATTGCATTATTGAAAAGAGAGTAAGTGTGACGATGGTGGCCAGCTGATCAGCACAGGCTTTCAGGCAGGAGGGGGGGGTCACACCGTAGGTAGTGATGTAGCTGTAGCCACCTTTACAGCTTTATCAGACGATCTCCCATCATCTCAACAGCCGCAATAAAATTCATTGAACTTCTAACAGCAGTCTTCATAAACACAACCAGTTGACTGTCACACATTTTACTGACTAACTGTTAAAAAATAAAAAAATCTGTTTCTGATCAGTGACTGCTGACAGCGCAGATAAGGCACCGGGACGATGAAGCCTGGTTGCTAGCCTGGTCTGGAGCAGGCGTGATGTAGTACATGGTCTACCTTAATCCATGATGAGAACAGGCAGCACATTTCCACAACTGGGTGTGGTTTCAGTGCCTTTACCGGGCACGAACCACCCCTGAAATAAATTCCTTGCTATGCCCCAGTGCGAACATCACTAATTTCACAACATAACCAGAAAACAGTTTTGTTGATGTCTCAAAAATATGTGAACACAAACACAGCAGTTTTATAGTTTTCATATTGCCACATTTGATCTAAAGCCAGAATGAACGAATGATACAAGGACCCTCGACCTCGTGTCTTTAGTCTCATTATGAAGGCGTTTCTATCGATTAGGTCCTGAGCACTGACCTGTTGATCACCGGGGACTGAAGATGAGTCCACTTTGTTCTTTATGGGGGGATCGCTACTCCGTTTGTCCGGGTCCTGGTTCTCCTCTTCCATCTCGCTCTTGTCATCAGTGAAATCCGAGTCCTGGTTCTCCTCCTTAATCTCGCTCTTGCAGTCGATGAAACTCAGGTCCGGATTCTCCCCCTCCATCGGGCTTTTGTGGTGAAATCCAGCGGATCTCCACATGTCGTCCTCTGCTGACTCTGGGTTCTGTTCAACAAAAGGAGCACTGCTCAGTCTCACAGTCGGAGGAAACCATCCAAGTATCAGCAGTAGGCACCATTCATGTATTCTCAGCATAAACGTTCCTTATTTTTATATTTATTTATTGTTATATTTGTACCAGTTTTACTCAGTGTAAAGGAGAACCTGAGCTGCAGGCTACACGACCCAACAACTGAATTTGACTAAACCATAACTTTAAACTAAATAAATAAAAATAAGGCACTGTCAGTAGCATTACTTACTGCACATCTTTCACTCATTAACTTTATTGTTTTTTTGCCCATTTTTAATCTTGCAGCATTTTTATATCTGTAATTATTTTTGTTTTTCAGATAAAAGCTGAGTTTCTGCATGTCACCACTCCTACACCCCAGTTTTCTCTGCACTCGATGTTACTGGTGCTGTTACAGAGAGGGGCTGCAAAATGTTATGGCAAGTAATCCAGTCTGGAAAAGAGTACACTGATTACACTGACGTGCACATTGCTACCATGGTCTCTGCTGCTCTCCTTTGACCAGGAGGACGACATGATGATATGACAATGATGTAGGATACAAAGAATCCCCCCCCGCCCAAAAACCTATGAAGTGAGTGTAAATTAAACCTAATATTTATCTTTCATATCTTTTTAAGCTCACAAACCCACAGTAATGGAAGCCCCATAGAACAAAGTAGTCAACTATGAGTTTTCACAACGGACCAGTTTTGAAATCCCTCATGTGGTTCGACTCCAGATTTTGATGCGAGTCTACACATGCCAGGTAGGTTGGACCTGAACGGGAGACAGACTTTTTACTTCATGATGAATGAGTTGTCGGTTTTCCTATTCGTTGCTCCTGTTCATACAGGCTGTGAAGTGAAGGGATTCCTTCCTAACACAACTACACAGAACAAGTTGGAAATGCAAGAATGACATATGAAACTGTGCTGAAGTCAACATCAGGCTTCAGCAGCTTGACAAACATATTTGTCCTGGTACCTACAATATGTGCAGATTTAGTGTTATGTCCCCAAAACAAACCTACAGTATATGCAACTACCAGGATGTATCCCACTAACGCTGCTCCACAAAGAACTGGACTGACTGTTGAAACCTTGTACTGACTTCAGCTGAAATCTAGGAGTCACTTCTATGCAAAACAAGAGCTGTGGATTTTCTCCCGCATTACTTTGTAACTGGATGACAAAGGAATCACTTCATGGCCGGTATGAACAGGAGGCTACTACTATTTCTTATTGTACTGTGCGTATGGCTCCACTTAAACAATATAGTCCTGCTTTGCAAGTTCAAACTCCAGACATAAGCCCCTTTTCCACCACCTGGTACCGGCTCAACTCGCCCGGTTTGTGTTCCATCAATCAGATGTTGGGGATAGTACCTGATACCTGGTGCTGTGATGTCACAGCAGTATAATGCTGTGTAAGGATCTGACGCTTCTCGTTACAGTCGACGTATCTGTAGGAATAATCTGACTATTGTTTAGAGCATTCATGCGACCTTTTGTGTTGTCCTTCTGTTGTTTCTCAAACATCTGAGATGCAGTGATAGTGGCATTACTCATTCTTCAGAACTTTTAGTACACTGGAATTGTTTGCACTTTATTTGAAAATAAATTTGTTGACCTCAACAACTGCTTCATCTAAATCATCAACATGTCTCCTGGACCCCATCCCGACCAGGCTGCTCAAAGACGTCTTTCCCCTAATCAACACATCCATACTAGATCTGATTAACCTCTCTCTATTAACAGGTTATGTTCCACAGGCTTTTAAACTTGCAGTAATTAAACCTCTACTCAAAAAGCCTACTCTTGACCCAGGTGTCCTAGCTAATTATAGACCAATATCCAATCTCCCATTTATTTCCAAAATC